TCGACCACTGTCCCAAGCACGGCTGGTGGGAGAGAAAGGGCCTTCTCTGTGGCTGCCCCCCAACTCTGGAACTCCCTCCTTAAAGAGTTAAAGATGGCCCCTCCCACCCCGCTTTCAAAAAACAGCTGAAGACATACCTTTGCTCTCTGGCTTATGAGGAGGAGGAATAGTAGTTGGTAATACTACCATTATACCTCTGATTAATAGTTGCCATCCGTATCCATACCCTGCTCACCCCACCAGCTCAATAGATATCTTGAGCAATGATTAATCAATTTGCCCCAAAGAAATGGGAAATTATTGTTTCCATTCGATGTTTGATGTTTTGTCTTATGTCTGTTATAACAGGCTGTGCTTTTTATTTAATTTTAGTTTGTTAAATTATAATTTGTATTTATATGTTGGGTTGTATCAATTTTGTTAGCATTGATGTATTGTTGTTGTATGCAGGCATTGAATGTTTGCCTTTTATGTTTGGAATCCGCACTGAGTCCCTTTGGGGAGATAGAGCGGAATATAAATAAAGTATTATTATTATTCTCCTGCGGAATCTGTACAAGGACCAAGTAGCAACAGTAAGAACTGACCACGGAACAACAGACTGGTTCAAGATTGGGAAAGGCGTACGGCAAGGCTCAATACTCTCACCCAACCTTTTTAACTTGTATGCAGAAAACATCATGCGATGTGCGGGGCTGGATGAATGCAAAGCTGGGGTGAAAATTGCTGGAAGAAACATTAACAACCTCAGATATGCAGATGACACCACTCTGATGGCCGAAAGCGAGGAGGAGCTGAGGAGCCTTCTAATCAAGGTGAAAGAAGAAAGCGCAAAAGCCGGGTTGCAGCTAAACATCAAAAAAACCAAGATTATGGCAACAAGAATGATTGACAACTGGAAAACAGAGGGAGAAAATGTGGAGGCCGTGACAGACTTTGTATTTCTAGGTGCAAAGATTACTGCAGATGCAGACTATGGCCAGGAAATCAGGAGACGCTTACTTTTTGGGAGGAGAGCAATGTCCAGTCTCGATAAAATAGTAAAGAGTAGAGACATCACACTGGCAACAAAGATCTGCATAGTCAAAGCCATGGTATTCCCTGTAGTAACCTACGGATGTGAGAGCTGGACCTTAGGAAGGCTGAGCGAAGGAAGAGAGAGATGCTTTTGAACTGTGGTGTTGGAGGAAAGTTCTGAGAGTGCCTTGGACTGCGAGAAGATCCAACCAGTCCATCCTCCCGGAAATAAAGCCCGACTGCTCACTGGAGGGAAGGATACTAGAGACAAAGTTGAAGTACTTTGGCCACATCATGAGGACAGCAAAGCCTAGAGAAGACAATTATGCTGGGGAAAGTGGAAGGTACAAGGAAGAGGGGCCGACCAAGGGCAAGATGGATGGATGGCATCCTTGAAGTGACTGGACTGACCTTGAAGGAGCTGGGGGTGGTGAAGGCCGACAGGGAGCTCTGGCGTGGGCTGGTCCATGAGGTCACGAAGAGTCGGAGACGACTGAACGAATGAACAACAACAACAAATAATTGTGATTGCTTACTATGTATATATATATGTATGTATATATTGCTATGCAGTTTTCACCTCCAGTCCTCACAGGGGGTAAAGAGGGAAATCCCAAACTTTACATGATTGCAGGGTCACACAGTCAAAGGAAAATCCGCTTTTTTGCCCAGAACTGGGATAAAGGAGGACCTTTTTGAATCAGGTTTTCCCTCTGTTCCTGCGATTGAGCATGCATTTAARACAGTGGTTCCAACCTTCCTACTGCCATGACCCCTTAATACAGTTCCTCATGTTGTGTTGACCCCCAACCATAAAATTATTTTCATTGCTACTTCATAACTYTCATTTTGCTGCTGTTATGGATCATAATGTAAATATCTGATATGCAGGATGTATTTTCATTCACTGGACCAACCCAATATGCTCAYATTTGAATACTGGTGAAGGTGGGGGGGGGGGGTTGATTTTATCATTTGGGAATTGTAGTTGCTYGGATTTATAGTTCACTTACAATCAAAACGCACTCTGAACATCACCAATGATGTAATTGAACCAAACTTGGCATACAGAACTCCCATGACCAACAGAAAACACTAGAAAGGTTTGATGGGCATTGAACTTGAGTTTTGGAGTTGTAGTTCACCTACATTCAGAGAGCAACTGTGGACTCAAACAATGAAGGATGTGGACCAAACTTGGCACAAGTACTTAGTATGCCCAAATGTGAACACTGGTGGAGTTTGGGGAAATAGGCCTTGACACTTGGGAATTGTAGTTCTGGGATTTATAGTTCACTTACAATCAAAGAGCATTCTGAACCACACCAATGATAGAATTGGGCCAAACTTCTCACACAGAAGCCTCATGAAGAACAGAAAATACTGTGTTTTCTTATGGTCTTTCGTGACCCCTCTGCCACCCCCCTTGCGACCCCCCCCCCTGGGGTCTCAGCCCCCAGGTTGAGAAACACTGATTTAGCAAAAATTCATCTGGTCACCCCCGTTTTTAACCCATTCTCTCCCAAATTATAGGTACTGTGAGAAAGTGCCCCCGCCCCAAAGAATCACATTTGTTTCATATCTATGTTGTCTAGTCAAAATAAATGGGCTATAGCCAGAGTGGCCATACGAAATGTTCACCAATGAAGATGTTTGCTCACAGTATTTGCTGAACTGTAAAAGTTTGTTGATACATAAATTCTGAGTGTAGTTGGAAATGTGTTCCTTTGAGTTGCCCCGTTGACCTATGGTGACCCCCATGAAGTATATAGAGTTTTTCGAGCAAGAAATATTCAGAGGTGGTTTTACCAGTTTCTTCCTCTGTAATGTAGTCAACAGCATTTGGTATTCATTGGTAGTCTCTCAGAACCAACCTTACATAGCTTCCAAAATACAAAATATCTTGTGAAAATGCTTAATGTGAGGGGAACGTATATTGATTTGAATGCTCTTAATTGTTTATATATTATTTTAAACTTTAAATAACATGTAGGTGTAACCCCCTAGACGTAGTACTTTTCTTGTCTGGTAGATGGTGTAAATTTGAATGTGGAAGTAAGACATTTTGATGAAATATTTAAATGCTTCTAAAACATCATCCTATAGAAATGTGGGTACTGTTCCATTATCCGTGTGGAGGCCACTAGGGGCCGCTAGAGAGAGTAGGATAGTRCAGGGGTGGASGGTGGGCTGAAGGAGGAAAACAATTGCCCCCTGTTTTCCTGTTCCCCTCCCCACACACTCACCCCACAATGTCCCTGTCATGTAAACAATCCTCTTGAAATAGGAAGTGGGGGAAGGTAGTATCCTTCTCTCTCTACTGCCCCCTAGTGGTTTCTGCCCAGATAATGGAAAACTAACAAAATATGTTAGTCACCTTTTCTGGATTTGCTGTTTTCCATAAGCAGATTTTCAAAACAGGAAATAATCTGAACACTCTCTGCTGCATTTCAAAACCATATATAGTATTTTGTTCAGAATTTCTGAAAGGATCACTCTGAATTCTTGTAAGATTTTTTTCATATTCAGCCTGAAGAAGAGAAGGCTGAGAGGACATTTGATAGCCATGTATAAATATGTGAGAGGAAGCCACAGGGAGGAGGAAGCAAGCTTGTTTTCTGCTTCCCTGGAGACTAGGACACAGAACAATGGCTTCAAACTACAAGAAAGGAGATTCCATCTGAACATGAGGAAGAACTTCCTGACTGTGAGAGCCGTTCAGCAGTGGAACTCTCTGCCCCGGAGTGTGGTGGATGCTCCTTCTTTGGAAGCTTTTAAACAGAGGCTGGATGACCATCTGTCAGGGGTGATTTGAATGCAATATTCCTGCTTCTTGGCAGGGGTTTGACTGGATGGCCCATGAGGTCTCTTCCAACTCTTTGATTCTATGATTAAAACATATGTGCACATATGCATACTTACACTCCTTACATCCACATGCAATACAACATTTGATGCAATATTCATAATGAAATATTCACTACTAATGTTTTTTTCTTGATTCCAGAATTTTCTTTGTTTCATAAAATTGGCATATTATACTGCATGTTTATCTAACACACAGCAACTGGCTCTCTCTGTATCTATGCACATCTGTTTCTATGAGAAAGCGAAGGTGTTGATGTTGTTGATGGGCCTATGCAGTGGAGAAATTGCATGATGTGAGATATGCTTATCATTGCAATTTGTTGTATCAAAGAGCAGAAACACTTCTATCCTTAAACACCACATCAGTTTAGTAAAACAGTTTATTGAAGGATATATGTAAGCAAAGCAGTAAAAATAGTAAAAACAGTATAGTCCAAAGCAGTATAATCCAAGGATAAGATATAGTCCATGAACTTCGTGGTAAAAAGGTAAAAAACACAAAATCCAAGGATGCGAAATCCAGAGAACAAGACAGAATGGAAATCAAATACATGAAACAGGAACCTGGCAAAATTTGAAACATGAAACTAGATATCCACTTGGAGAAAGACCATCATGAAGTTCCAACATTGATAAGACTGAACTAAAACCCTTCCCTTGTTTCAATATAAAGCTTTTCCTGTCCCAAGAACCAAAAGGAAAGCATTCCACTTCCCCTTAGAATCAGATAAGGATTTATCTTTCTTTTCCAGCAGATGGATTGACCTTTGCCGATCCTGAGAACTCGGTCTCAGTTTACAAAAGTCTTGTTTTCTGTCTTTACACTCATTAAATTCTGCACCTGACAAATCATCCTCAGAAGATAGTTTCTCAGAGAAAGACTGCTGTGGATCTCTCCCAGGAATTTAACCTCATGAATCTGCAGGAGAAGCACTCTGTTCATGAGACACCTTGGGCCTCTTAGCAAGGACTGGGCTTGACTCAGTCCCGGAAAAAACCCTCATTCCCATTGACATCAAACACAGGCTCAGAAAATCTTTCATCCTCATTTACATCACAGGCTGAACTACAATGCAATTGTTTATTAAAGAAATTAGAAAAGTGTGTCTGGAGAACTAATTTCTTAATGGTTATTGGTATTAACATATAACAGACTGTCAGATGTATCTTTTCAGCCAATTAAGCATGTCCTTCCTTGCTTCTTCGATGAAAGGCCTATCTTGAGGGCTAATGTCTTCTCTTTTGCGGTGTACAAAGCCATGGGTTTGTCCTGGATAAATTTTCACTTTACAATCAGTTTTGCATTGTTCTTTTAGCTTCCGCTGTAGTTCAGCAACCTACAACAGAAAACATCTTCTTAGTACTGGTTCCAAATTAATGTCATCCCACGATTGACAGGACTCATCTCTTATTCCATGGAAAGTTATACAAAGTCAGTGCATAGACTCCTTAAATTTCCTTTATATCTGATTCAAAGAATTAAATGTGTGTCCTTAATACTGTTCTGCAGGAAGAGTCCAGCTTTTCTAATGTATTGGTATATTCCACAGCCCAAATCCAATTGATTATTCCAACAAGAGTAGAGTCCTTGAATCAATAGGAAAATGCTTAAGTCATCAATTAATACTCTTAATACCATTATGCTTAATTCTGTTTTAATGTTTGCATATTTGTATACTTTCTATTGTGTGGCAATACTTTTAACATAAAAGTATTACCACACTTTTGACTCTCATTTGGGAAACATAAAGCAGGGTATAAATAAGCATAAAAATAAAGATAAGCATAATAATAATAATAATAATAATAATAATAATAATAATAATAATAAGCCAAACTACTCTGGAACTTCCGAATTCAGACTGACAGAGTTTTGAAGCACAATACTCCTGACCTCACGATTGTGTTAAAAAACAGTGTGGATCATCGATATTGCAGTCCCAGGAGACAGCAGAATTGAAGAGAAACAACTGGAAAAGCTGGCACGATATGAGGATTTAAAGATCGAACTGCAAAGACTCTGGCACAAACCAGTCAAGGTGGTCCCAGTGGTGACTGGCACACTGGGTGCAGTGCCTAAAGACCTTGGCCTGCACTTAAACACAATCAGATTACCATCTGCCAGCTGCAAAAGGCCACCCTACTGGTATCTACATGCATTATTTGCTGATACATCACAGACCTAGACACTTGGGAAGTGTCTGACGTGTGATCCAATACAACAGCCAGTAGAGTGATCTTGTTTGCTGTAGACTCATCTTGTTGTGTTTCTAATAATAATAACAACAATAACAACAATTTATATTTATTCAGTGCATCTACCCTAGCTGAGACTAATAACAGACTTTAAACTCATATTCCTCATTTACACTTATGCAAGAATATCAAGGATTACAGCTATTTTGCACATGTCTGATGCTTTCCTTTGTCTTAGGATTGATGAAGGATGCAACATTTTGCATCAGTCACAAGGCTAGACACTGGAGAAAGAAGGCTAAAAACGGAATGTCTCAGGCTTCCTATTTGATACATATATTTTGAAGCAAATAACAAAGCAGCCATACTTACTTCAGGAAATTCCTAACTTTGTTTAGACCATAGGACAAGAAATCAATTTACTGTATTTCCGCTTCAATTTTTCTTTTACCGTGTACAGTTTGTAAAAAATACTTGCAAAAAGTATTGTAAATGCTATTTGTGATGCTATGTTGCAACATGAATTGGCATTGTATTATCTAGTTTCTTTTCCCCCAAGAAACAGCTTGCCTGCATTATAACTGTTTTCAACCACATGCATAAAAGCATTTCATTCTCATTAATCTAATTCTCCTCATAGGTTTTCTTACCCAAACCTTACCACTAAGGAGAAGACTCTCTCAAACAAGTATTTAACTCTACTTAGGAAGATCATACTTCACAAAAGGTTATGATTACTCCAAATAATGTGAATGCCAATTAATCTCCAAAGCGTCACGCTTCCAAAAGGCTATAGAGATTCCTGGTTTTCCAAAAGGTTATGATCTCTAAAAGGTCATGCCTTTCCAAAAAACAAAATAAAAAAACAAAACAGCCAAAACTATGTAATTTTTGGATAGACATGACCTATAAATACCTGAAGGGACCATTTGCTCTGTCCACTCTAGCATGGCTTCTCAAAATTTGTGTGATCCCAGGTAGAAAGGAAGAAAAACTAGGCAGAAAATCAAATATTTACTGATAATAAATCAGCATTTGCAAAGTTTGCTAAACAGGTTGAGTTTCCTTTTGGTGGAATACGACTGAAGCATTTCTGCAGAATCCACTATAAACACTGTACAACAAAATTGTTGTACTAATTATAATATAGTTGCTAATAGATTTGTGTAACTGAGTGGCATTCAGATGTCTTGTACTGTTGCTTATTTTTTCATAACCCCAAGATTGAGCTAGCGAGACCCCATCTGGGGTCGGGACCCACAGTTTAAGAAGCAGTGCGCTAGGATACTAAATACTTTGAATGTAAGAAAGACGGATACACTGTGTCCATAGACTTCATTTTCCACAAGTAATTTTTGTAGTCTTATACATTGTTTCTGCATTACTATTTGTCACCTATACTTTTTGAAAGAACACCGTACCTGGTCTAGAGGAACAAAATCATCGTTCTCTGCAAACATGAAAAAGGTGGGGTTCTTAAGATCATAATTGTCCTCATGAAACCTGATGATTCCTGGAATATATTTGAGGGAAAAAAGCAGCATTAAAATTAAACACTAAACTTCTACTAAGTAAATAGTTTTATATCTTTGGTATCACACCTTTTTGCAGTTCCAAAGATTCAAAAACAGGGATGTTATGTAGGAACTATCCATTTTCTGTTTTGGGGGGGAAATGATAAGAAGATCGGAAGATTCAATCACAGGAAGATTTGGGGGCAGCAGAAGACTTAGCTATGGAGGCATAGATTGCATGAGACACATATATTAGGGCTGGGCGGTTTCGTTTCGTTAATTCGTAATTCGTTAATAATTCGTTAATTTTCTTGATTACGAAGCGATAACAAACCATTCTGGAGCAATTTAAAAAAAAACAATTTATTTCGTAATTATTTTGTTATTATTTCGAAATTGTTTCGTAATTCTTTCGTAATTATTTCGTAATTATTTTCGCATGTCTGGTGCAAGTTTTATAGTTGTTGTTTGTTTTATCACACCAACAGTCAACAACAGAGGGAGAGGGAAGCTTCAGAAGTTCCCCCTGTCCCATTTGGAGGTTTTTTTAGCATATTCGCGGTCGCGTCCGCCATTAACGAATCGATTCGTTATTGTTTCGGAAATCGATGCGTTAATGTTTTGTAATTTTTTCCACATTTACGAAATTTCGTAAATATCGAACTTTTTAAAAGGAAAATTTTGTAATTATTTTAAATAACGAAACGCAAAAACCCCCAAAAAACGAATCGATTTTAGAAACAAATTTTTCCGTTGTTACCCAGGCCTAACATATATATCTCAATACAAATCATAGAATCACAAAGTTGGAAGCGAGTCCAACTCCCTGACAAGAGCAGCAAAATCACATTCAAAGCACCCCTGATAGAAGGCCATTCAGCCTCTGCTTAAAAGCCTCCAAAGAAGGAGACTCCACCTAACTCCGGGCAGAGAGTTGCACTGCTGAACAGCTCTCACAGTCAGTAAGGTCTTTCCAATCTTCAGATGGAATCTCCTTTCCTGTAGTTTGAAGCCATTGTTCTGCATCCAGAGGCGGCCCTAGGTAATTTTCAACGGTAAGCAAACAGTATTTTGGCACCCCCCCCCCCAACCAATCATTGATATATATTTTCTGTTCGTCGTGGGAGTTCTGTGTGCCATATTTGGTTCAATTCCATCATTGGTGGAGTTCAGAATGCTCTTTGATTGTAGGTGAACTATACATCCCAGTAACTACAACTAGCATATGTCAAGGTCTATTTTCCCCCAAGAGCAAAAAAAAATGTACTGCGACCACTTACTTTGAGTAATGGACGAGCCGCCCCTGTCTGCGTCCTAGACTCTAGGGCAGCAAAAAACAAGCTTGCTCCCTCCTCCCTATGACTTCCCCGTACATATTTATACTTGACCATCATGTCTCCACTCAGCCTTCTCTTCTGCAGGCTAAACATGCCCAGCTCTTTAAGCCACTCCTCATAGGGCTTGTTCTCCAGACCCTTGATCATTTTAGTCACCCTCCTCTGGACATATTCCAGCTTGTCAATATCTCTCTTCAATTGTGGAGCCCAGAATTGGACACAGTATTCCAGGTGTGGTCTAACCAAAGCAGAATAGAGGGGTAGCATGATGTAATGAATCCCTTACCTTAGCTGACTGGCTGAAGCCTAAGGGAGTAGGCCTTGGGAAGCCACGGTGTCCATTTTGGAAAAGGGTGCTGGGGGAAGCCATTTTAGTTAGGTATTTTCCTGGAGGGGGTGTGTTCAAAGTCTTAGAGGGAAAATAAGGAGATTGGCTAGAAAGATGGGGGCAGAACCTATCTGGTCTAGAGGAAAAACAGAGGCTTGAAGTCCCAGTCAGGCAGTCAGTTAGGAGTTGATGTTAGAGAGAGTTGGTGTTCGGAGTGAGTTGGTGTTAGTCAGAGCAAGTTTGGGTTTTGAGAAGAAGATTGGGTTAGTCTTTTGTGAGGTATTTAGAGTAGCTATTAGTAGATAGCTAGAATACTGTTGTGGAGGAGTGCCCAGTTAGTGGACTGTTAATAATAATAATAATAATAATACTTTAGTTATACCCCGCTACCATCTCCCCAGGGGACTTGGTGTGGCTTACATGAGGCCGAGCCCACAACACATCAATAATAAAAGCAATAACAACAGTAATACAAACAATAAAATAAAAATCATAACAGAAAATTACAATAAAACATTAACAATAACACAACAAAAACCTGTTTACAAAAACCTATGGCTGGGCCAAACGTAAAATTAAAATTTTAAAATATGCATCACCAGGTAAAAAGTAGTTAGGATAGAATTTTTGGAGAGGGATGGGGAAGTCCTAGGGAAGTTGTCAGGTTTTACAATGTATTGTAATGTAATAAACTGAGTCATGCACTGCTAATGGGCTTCTATTGGGAATGCTGAGTCATACATTGATTGTATATGGGGAATCATTTGGGGAATGTATTCTGGCCTACTCCAGGTGATTGCGAATGATGCAATCTTGGGTTTGAGTTGAGTCAATTAGTTGGTAACCAATCAGAGATTGCTATGTGTAAATGAATTGTATATAAGGAAACCATGTACAGTGTATATTTCTCCTTGTGTTTGATGTTGTTTGTCAAAGGCTATATGTAATTAAAGAACCTGTCTGCTAGGACAAGATATGGCTGTGTGCTGTTGAGTCTGTAATATCATCTAGACTGGGGGAAAGACAATGGTAAAACTGACAATGGCCGGGCATGTGCTCAAGTGTTTGTAAAAGGTTCCAGCGTGGCTGCAGTTGACTGAAAAGAGCAGTGCAAGAAGAAGCTACTGGAAAGCGCTGAAGTTGTGCAACTGATCTGCTGCTGAGCTGTGAAGTTAATCACAACAGAAGTCTAGTTCAGGGTATTGTTGGCTAGATTCCTAAGGATCTGTTTTGGGAGTTACTTTCAGAGATTAGTTTCCTGAAGTAATTTTCTGTGGAGTAACTTTGAAGACGTGTAACCCAGAAATGTATATGATTTTATTCTAATGCAACCACAAGCTTTTCATGCCAGTACTTTCTGAAATCAATAAGCATCTGTACCTGAATTAATTCAAGTTTGTTCAATAAATGTTCTTGTTCCTTGGTTAACTTACATCAGCCTCAGTGTGTGTACCTTTGTGGTCAAAGTATTCCTAAAGTTAGCTTCCCAGCAGCCACTAAGAATCTATAGTAGCACAGTGTGTGTTACAAAACAAACTCATAGTATTACCTCAGCCTGATTATTCTTTAAATGGTGGCAGTGGAATTCAATTGAAGAACCATTTTAAGTCTCTCCATTTTAATGTTTCCCAATTCCTACCTTTTTAAATACTAAGTGTCTCTCCCCTTCTCTGCTCTAAATTCCCCTGATATTGTTATACAAGGGGTATTTTTTAAGTAAGGTCCATTTTGTTGTAGACACTAGTAGTTTGCGCACATACCGCAATGAGCGTCATGTACTGGCATGCCTCAGGAACAACTGTGCTTAGTTTCCGCTCTGTAGCTAACCTGTACGGTTCTGTTCTGTGCTTTAAAAATGTTTAAGACTATCAACTCACCTGCCGCATGTGAGGTTTGCTCAGTGATACGGTTTTTGTCAGCAAGGAACCTGCCTGCTGCAGAAATTCATCGACAGATTTGTGAAGTGTACAGTGATACTGTTATGAGTGAAAACAAAGTGCGTGAGTACGACAATTCAAAGATGGCCGTGACAACGTCCATGATCAGGACCGCTCCGGTTGCCCTTCTTTGATTACAGGCGATTTGGTGGCTTCAGTTGAAGCGAGGATTCGTGAGAACAGGCACTTCACAATAGCAGGTCTCTCAAACGAATTTCCTGACGTGTCAAGATCAGTGCTTTACAACATTGTTTCTGAAAACCTAAAGTTTAGGAAACTGTGCTCCCGTTGGGTCCTGAAACTCCTAACAGAGGACCACAAAAACCAAAGATTTGAAGTGAACTCTTGGTTATCGGAGCAGGCGGAAAGTTTTTATGAAGAGGGTATTTTAAAATTGGTTCAGAGGTATGATAAGTGTTTGAACAAACTTGGCAACTATGTCGAAAAATAGAGTGAAGTATGTACTTTCTGAAAATAAATTTAATTTTTTGAAATAAACTTTCGTTGTGTACTTATGTTCAAACGGACCTTACTTAAAAATACCCCTCGTATTTTGGTGGTATAGTCGGTGGGATATATTTTAACAATTAATTTAGAGGAAATGTAAATAATAAAACTGCTTTAATCATCCCTTCCTCCGTTTTGGATCCTTTTGAATGGCATTATATTTTGGTGAGCATTATATATGACTTCTCTGAATCTAGACACTATACTCTTATTTATGCAGGCCCAAATCCCATTGGCTTTTTAAGCTGCCCCATGACATTGTTGACTCATGTTTAACTTGTTGTCCACGAGGACTCCAAGATCTTTTTCACACATACTGCTGTCGAGCCAGGTGTCCCCATTCTGTACTAACCCAATTTTAATACAATGATCACAACTCAGCTATAAGCCTTTTTTCACATTATGAAGACAAGTTTGGTGATGTGTAAATGATTTATGCTTAAATTATAAGTAATAGCCTAGGATACAGTCTCCAAAGAGCACAGAAGTGTAATCAACCTTAATGGCTCAAGTTTTTTGACAGACAAAAGCATGCTCCAACCTAGAAGTATCAACTTATTTCCACCATCTTTCCATATAATGCATGGATGTGTACAGACTCCATTGTACATGGCACTTACCATAAATTGATACACCAGCCTTAAATTCCAAATATCTTAACATCAAATGATGAACAACAGCTCCGCCCCAGCAAAATCCAATGACACCTATCCCCTTTGCATGGCATTGTTTCTTCAGATATTTCAAGACAACGTCTGTTTCCCTGAGATACAAAAATGTAGGTAAATGAAGACATTAGTTAAGTAAAGGTAAAGGTTTCCCCTGACATTAAGTCTAGTCGCCTCTGATTCTAAGGGGTGGTGCTCATCTCCATATCTAACCAAAGAGTCACTGTTGTCTGTAGACGCCTCCAAGGTCATGTGGTCAGAATGACTGCATGGAGTGCTGTTACCTTCCCGCAGAAATTGTACCTATTGATCTACTCACATTTGCATGTTTTTGAACTGCTAGGTTGCAGGTACAGCTGTACCAGGAACTCCAATTTTGTTTGCTTTGCATTTAATGTTTGTTATAGTCCTAAGTTTCAGGGACTCTGCAGATAGGTGGCTTCTTTTGGCTGCAATCATAGGGCAAGCCACCTGTCAATTATAGTTAGGTTCCCTGGTCCTGCCCCCCTTTTTGGGTTTTTGGAGGGAATAGGAGCCTTTTTGGGTCAGTCCACACAGAGAAGCTTCCATGCAGGACATAATACCAAGAGCCCCTGTAGAAAGCTTTGTCTTCTACGGCTTGGCTGGGGAGATATACAGCCCCACAGCTTGGCTGCGGAGATATACAGCTTTACAGCTCCTTTGCTGAGGGACTTCAGCAGCCATCACCGAAACCTGAACTCCTTTTTCCCTGGAAGTCTACAAAGCTCTGCTTGGTAAGGGTCACTCGCGGAAGCCAGACGCAGTTGGTACCGGGTGCAGGGGCTCCACGCCAACAGAGGCAAAGACAGACTGCCCAGATTAGAAGTTAAGGATTTCCCCATTAGTTAAATACAGTTAAGAAGATAGTGCCTGTTCCCAGTGAACAAGATTGAGAGAGCCAATAGACTACTAAGAAAGCCTTGAAGTACCTGTTTGTTTTTATTAATAAAGAACTTTGTTGAACCTTTAAGCAATCCAAGGGCTTTTAATCTGAGGCAGCCCTGGCATCCCGTTGGGCACGCAGAATTTATGTCCTGTCTACAGTCTTATGCACAGGCCCCGCGTGCGACAGCACAGCTAGGTTTACAGAAGCTAAGACTAACCTTTCGGTCAGCAAGTTCAGCAGCTCCGCAGTTTAACCCACTGCAGCCCCAGGGAGCTTAGTTAGGAAACCATTATTAGAATCATTTATGTGTACTAATCTGTCAAGTCAATATAAAAATAAGATAGATTTGTCAGAATGACTGCTTAAAACAAATATAGCAAAGTTTTTAAGAAAATATTTTGTTAAAGAAAATATAGCTCACACTGCTTAGGAAATTTCTGGGGTCATCTCCTGAAGGTGAAAGCAAGCTATGAAACTGAATAAATAGGTGACTGGATTAGTTAAATATGCTGGAAACATATCTCCCTCTGCGTACTGCCTCGTAATTTAAG